ATTTTAATAAAAGTGTAATTCAACATGAAAATCACTTTTCAAATAATAAATGCATGAAACTTCTAATAGTCACTGCCGAAGGTAATTAATGAATGCATTGAAAAAGGATTGCCCGATTTTGGGACAAAGTCCAAGTATTTATGGGCTAATATTGGACCCATGATCCGTTCTCCTCCCTTTCCTCTTTCCCACCAAAGCCCAAAGTGGCAATGTACAACAACTAGACCACTTGACAGTATGTTACAGCGTAAGGTATGTAAGTGAGATGAGCTAAAAAAATATAAGGGTTTTTTTTTAATTATAAAATTTCCTCGACTTCTGTCCTTGGATAATGCTTTTGAAATTGAACCCAATATAGACATTGTGGGAAATTTTTACGCAAAGCAACCGTGAAAGTTATGGTGACGACTTGATGCAGAACAGCAAGGGCAGAATAAGTTTGGAGGCAAACTTTAGATATTAAAATTGGGCTAATAAGGTCACATTTTTATGGGCCAAAGTGGGCTAAGTCAACAGTTTTATGGGCGCAACTTCCTTCCTTTTCCTACCCTTTCCAGCCGAAGCCCAAAGTACTGAATTTCTCGTCCTGTCTTAAATTCGCACGGTACGATCACCCTGAGACTGCACAGCGCAGAGTCACCCCAGTCCTGCTTCGCCACCAAGCTCTCAAAAAGTTCTTGACTTTCCTTCTCCAGCTGGGGTTTTGTGCTCTGCTGTTGCTTGCGCGCTGAAGCAATTCTATGTCATCAATGGATGAACACAAAGATGCATTTTATGTTGTTCAAAAGGGAGGCATCATCGGGGTCTACAAGACTTTAAGCGATTTCCGGGAAGAAGCTGGATCTTCAGTAACTTTCTTCTTTTTTTCAGCACTTCCTTTTTTTTTTTTTTTTCCTTTTCTTTCAAATTTTACATATTTGATTCTGGGTGTTCTTTATCTTTAGGAAAATTGGTGCCTTTTCTTTTGCTTCCTGTTTTATGGGTTTGCAGTTGAAGGGTTACTCTATTGCCAAAAAATAAGTCTTTTAGATTCAGGATGATTCTATGATTGATGGCTTCCTTTTTCTTAACATGATTCATGCCTTCTCTACATAAAGATATGTGCTTTTTGACAGCTGAAGTGATTCATTCATTTATTTTATTTTATTTTATTTTCGGTTTTATAGGCCCAGAGTCCAAAAATAACTGTGTACAAGGGATATGGTTTACCTAAGGAGACTGAGGAGTACCTTGCCTCTCGTGGGCTTAAGAATTCCACCTATTCTATTAGTGCTGATGATGCCAACGAGTATATGTTTGGTAAAGTTGTTCCTTGCCTTCCACAGGTTAGATACTTAGGAACACTTCTTGGCTTTGATATTGGTATTTCTACAATGACATATTTACCCGTTTCTCCGCTGCAGGAGATGGTTGGATCAGATTTAGTTTTTACAGGTCCTCAGACCAAGCGGATAAAGTTGGATAATTTTGTTGAAACTCAAACAGTTTTCTCCAACAGGGTGAGTTTTTGTTAGAATGCTTATATTTCTTCTACCAGTAGGATTTTGGATTTCAAAGTATAGATGTTGAAAGTTACACCATGTCCTTTGTGGCTTCTGTTAGAGCTAGAGTATATGGCATTTTGTTTTCTGTAAGTAAATGCTTGATGCTTCAACTAATATCAAGATTTATGTAAATTCCCAGCAATCTTGTTTTCTTGAGTTTGATGGTGCCTCCAAAGGAAATCCTGGACTAGCTGGTGCTGGAGCTGTTTTACGATCTGAAGATGGAAAAAAGGTATGCAGTTTTGTTAGTTAACATTAAATGATCTTAGGCTACAACTCCTTTAATCTGATCTTCAATTGTAATAGGTCTATCGACTACGTGAAGGAGTTGGCATTGCGACAAATAATGTTGCTGAATATCGAGCTGTCATTCTGGGAATGAAGTATGCACTTAAGACTGGGTTTAAACACATTCATGTCCGAGGAGACTCTATGCTTGTTTGCATGCAGGTTTAACGTTTCTTTCCCATTTAATGTCCTCTGTGTTCTGAAATGTTAAAATTTAGTATTCATGTATTAGATTGAACACCTTTGCATGCTTCCCTTCATGATGGTTTTAAAACTAGGTGCTGTTCCTTTTATTAGTTTAGAACTTCAATGTCTGCAACTGGGATGTTCATTCAGAAATTTGTTTTTGGGTTTTATGGCATTGGGTTGCCTGCATGTCTGCCTGTAGTATGTCCATATTTTTGTATCTTTCTTGTTCTATTATGCCTACAAGCTAATTTTACGTAAGGGACTGCTCTATTGAGCTGATATGCTC